TAGAATCTTATAAACCTTTATCTTATTTCTTGTACTTAGTGGTAAAGTTGGTGAATTTTGATGACAAAGTATGCAGTTTACTTATAATTATAATGTATTCTCTCCTGTTATTAAAAATGCTTGTAGTAAATCTGTTTTCAGTTTTATGATAATCACATAAGAGTGTATTTTCATGACTTAAAAGTTTGATAGGAGACATTGAAATAATAAAAGCAAATATATTTATCTACATTTCTTAAAAGTAAGAACTAATTTAGGAGCAGCTAGTATGTCATTTAATTCTTCAGTAAATCTTTGAGAGTGAAGCAAAAGTAAGTGCTTTTTGATTATATGAAGCTTTGTTAAGTTTTTGTATGTAAATAGTTTCCAACCATATAATTTATTCACTTTTTTGCATGAGGCATATGATATAATCAGGTGTGCTCTGGATGAATATGTGCTGAGCTCTGGATCATTTTGAATACCCCAAATAAGCTATTCCAGTCCCACCATATTGGGTAAGAACCCACATAGTGAGTGAGTAAAAATAGTAGTACATCTTTATGGGAAATTAAATTATAATTGCTTCTTGAGGGAATCTATTTCTGATTTTTTTTAAAAAGTGAAACCTAAAGCAGAATGTGAAGTGGAATCTTTCTGATGGCTAGCATGCATTAGGATATCACAGTTCATTCTCACACCATTTGCCAATTTTTCCATGTCTTTCTTCAATCACTCAATGTTTTATATTCTCTGGCCACACTCAATCGTCATTGCGTTGTTCCAGTTTTCTGAAAAAAAAATTGAATTTTGCAGCCTTTGAAATTTTCTACTGCTTACTAACACTTTTGTACATGTTTCAGTATATTTTCAGAATACTGCAGTTGTAACTAGGATGCTTAAAGTGTTGATTCTTTATAGTTATGTCTATAGTAATAATTTGGTTTTGTTAATGAAAAAGGATCAAAACTAGAATTGATTTTATTGATTGGCTGATGCTCAAATAATTTAAGTGCTAGAAGGTATACAGGTGGTTTGAATATCTAAAGCTAAATTAATCAACAACCCTGAATGGCGTGGCACACAAAACTAAACAATTAACCTCCCGTCCCAAAGAATCAGAATAAAAATCTATAAAAATTCTATAGCAGCTTATGGCACCCCTAGCCATACCCATATATACACTTACCATCTCACCAGCTCCGGCCTTGCCTTGCCTCAATATTTTAAGACCTAGAAGGGAATGAGTGTGGGGGCCTGCTGGATCTCTGGGAAAAGGGTGTTACACTGGGCAGGGCCAACTATAGAGAAGGTGCAGTTCCTTGTTCCTGTTAGATGATAACGTTTAAAAGAAACAACATGGAGTGCTCCCACTGTATCTGATCTAGTGGAATGGCCAAATCTTCAAGGAGAAGCAGTCCTGTAAGCCAGGGCTTTTCAACGGGTACCACCTGTGGGACATTGGCACCTGGCAAGTGGTACGCGAGCACCCTAGAAAAGTAGCGGGGGAGGGGAATGAGCTGAACCGGTGGCAGCACCGCACAAGCCTGAGTGAGAGATGGCTGGAGCTGCAGGGCTGTCATCAGTGGAAGCGCCAGGTTCAGTGCTAGGCTCCAGGTGGAGCTTGGCGCTGATCCTGGCGCTTCTGCTGAGCCCAGAAGAAGCACCAATCAGCCGGAATGTTGCAGCATCTCCAGGGTCTTGTGATTTACATTCAGATGCTTGGCAACTGATTCATATTTATGACGGTCACAGTGTCCCAGGGTCATGTGAAGTGACCAAAACCTGCTGCAACCACCCAGCAGAGGGGGGGGGAAATAAAAACCAAACATCACCCCACCCTACCCCCGCTGCCAATCCTCAACAGAAATGCTCACAACAATGAAAACCTCAGACAGGAGGAAGAGCGCCGCCGGGCGGGCAGGCAGGTGTCATGCTCGGCTGTGGCTTGGGGGGCACTTTTTTCAGTGCTATTGTAACTTCGAACAGTCACTAAGCAAACTGTTGTAAGTCGACTATCTGTATTTTATCACTTCCCCCCCCTTTTTTTGGGTCATCAAGTTTTTGACACCTTGCTAAGCGACTGGTGGTACTCGGATGTTGCCATATTCTAAAAGTGGTACAATGGGTGAAAAGGTTGAAAAGCCCTGCTGTAAGCAACCTGGTCCTACACCATTTAAAGTTTTAAAAGTAATAACCAGTACTTTGAATTGCAACAGGAAGAAACTGGAAACTATCAGTCCTTCAAGGAGGACCAGACTAGGAAGCAAGGTTGTGTATGCTAATCCTGCCTTAATTATAAGGTTATGGTACAGAACTGGTCTGAATGCGCTTCCCCTTCCCTTCCTTTATCTTGGAAAAGAACTAGGGAAGGTCAAGCCTGAGATCCTTTTCAAATTACATTTCAGCCTCAGACTAAAACTTTTTTTTCCCTGATCAATATCTTGGTTGTGGCTCTTCCTCCTATTCCTCAAGATTATTCTTATAGCTGATTACATTCCATCAGCAGTGCAAAGAGGGCAAACTGAGGAGCAGTCAGAATGGTGCATGCTGTCACATTTTGAATCAATCGTAATTTCCAGTTAATCTTCAAGGGCAGCCCCATGTAGAATGTGTTGCAGTAATCCAACCAGGAAATGACAGGATTAATCAATGTGACAAGACCTCCCAGTCCAGGAAGAGTTTCATTTGGCAAAAAAGAAGTCTATGTGAGGTTGCTGCAAAGTACAAGATCCCTGAAGTTCCCGTGTAGGGGTCCTTGGGAGAAAAAGCAGCAGGAACAACTTATGTGAGCAACTTGCAACCATCCCTGCCAACTTCCCCATTGACTTTGGTTCCAGCAGGGAAGATCACAAATGGTGATCATATGGTTGCAGCTTGCTGCAATATCTTAATAATGAGGTGGGCACCCAGGTACCCAGATTGCTATAATGTGATGTTGCGATTACCACAACTTTGTGGACAGGTCATATGTTGCCCTTCTTCAGTGTTATTGTAATCTTAAATGGACCCCGAAAGAGTGGTCATAACTTGAGGATTACCTCTGTCCTACTGCAGTGGCCCCCAAATTTTTGAGCACCAGAGACTGGTTCTGTGGAGAGAGATTTTTTTCATGGATCTGAGGGGGCGTGATTTTGCATGCTGCCTGCATCCCATGCGTGCCTGGATGGGGCTTCGCTCACTTGAGCGGCCCAGTTTCTGGCATGTTGTGAACCGGTGCCAGTCCATGGCCCAGGGGTTGGGGACCCCTGTCCTAATGTAATTGCTTTACTGCTTAAGGCTATGTATATATGTTGCCATTGAGATTCTCCTATCTGAGGTGTGAGAAATTTCTTTGATGCATATTATATGTTTATTGGACCATAATAAAGCACTATAATTTGTCATTGTGATTTGTATACTTTCAAAATTAGAAAGATCTTTGAAATGAAAACATAACAGTTTTTATGTGGATATACTGTGAGGGGAAAAATTATTTGATACCCTGCTGATTTTGTACGTTTGCCCACTGACAAAGAAATGATCAGTCTATGATTTTAATGGTAGGTTTTAACAGTGAGAGACAGAATAACAGCAACAAAAAAATCCAGAGAAACACATTTCAAAAAAGTTATAAATTGATTTGCATTTTAATGAGTGAAATAAGTATTTGATCCCCTATCAATCAGCCAAATTTCGGGTTCCCAGGTTTCTTTTTTACAGGTAACGAGTTGAGATTAGGAGCACTCTCTTAAAGGGAGTGCTCCTAATCTCAGCTCGTTATCTGTGTAAAAGACACCTGTCCATAGAAGCAATCAGATTCCAAACTCTCCACCATGGCCAAGACCAAACAACTGTCCAAGGATGTCAGGGACAAGATTGCAGACTTACACAAGGCTGGAATGGGCTACAAGACTATTGCCAAGCAGCTTGGTGAGAAGGTGACAATCAGATGGTGCGATTATTTGTAAATGGAAGAAACACAAAGTAACTGTCAATCTCTCTTAGTTTGGGGCTCCATGCAAGATCTCATCTCGTGGTTTTTCAGTGATGATGAGAACGGTGAGGAATCAGCCCAGAACTACATGGGAGGATGTTGTCAATAATCTCAAGGCAGCTGGGACCATAGTCACCAAGAAAACAATTGGTAACACACTACACCATGGAAGACTGAAATCCTGTAGCACCCGATGGTCCCCCTGCTCAAGAGAGTATATGTACAGGCCCATCTGAAGTTAGCCAATGAATATCTGAATGATTCAGAGGAGAAGTAGGTGAAAGTGTTGTGGTCAGATGAGACCAAAATTGAGCTCTTTGACATCAATTCAACTCGCTGTGTTAGGAGGAAGATGAATGCTGCCTGTGACCCCAAGAACACCATCCCTACCATGAAACATGGAGGTAGAAACATTATGTTTTGGGGGTGTTTCTCTGTTAAGGGGACTGGACAACTTCACCACATCAAAGGGACAACGGACGGCCATGTACTGTCAAATCTTGGGTGAGAACCTCCTTCCCTCAGTCAGGGCATTGAAAAGGGTCATGGATGGCTATTCCAGCATGACAGTGACCCAAAACACATGGCCAAGGCAACAAAGGAGTGGCTCAAGAAGAAGCACATTAAGGTCCTGGAGTGGCCTAGCCAGTCTTCAGACCTTAATCCCATAGAAAATCTGTGAAGGAAGCTGAACATTTGAGCTGCCAAACATTCACCTCGAAACGTTAATGACTTGGAGAGGATCTGCAAAGAGGAGTGGGACGAAATCCCCTTTGAGATGTGTGCAAATGTGGTGCCAACTACAAGAAACGTCTGACCTCTGTGATTGCCAACAAGGGTTTTGCCACCAAGTACTAAGTCATGTTTTGCGAAGGGGTCAAATACTTATTTCACTCATTAAAATGCAAGTCAATTTATAATTTTTTTGAAATGAATTTCTCTGGATTTTTGTTGTTATTCTGTCTCTCAGTGTTAAAATAAACCTACCATTAAAATTATAGACCGATCATTTCTTTGTCAGTGGGCCAACATACAAAATCAGCAGAGGATCAAATAATTTTTTCCCTCACTATATTGCCTACTGCTGTCAAAAGTTAACTGTATCGAAATACCACAGAAATTAGTTTTAAAAAAACAAACAAACAAGTGCATATGGCAAGTATGGCCAGGGCAGCTAATAAGCACAAGCTGGGCTTTCTTCAGCTGTAGCAGCAGCAGAATCTCTGGTCTTCCCCTAGTTTCTTAATGAGATTATATATTTTTTTAAGGATTCAGTAGGATAAACAAGTATTCATCTTCATCAAGCCTTATTAGAAAAATGTTTGTGATAGTTATTTTTAATAGCAAGTTGCACATATTTCTCCATTGATTTAATATAGGAAAATAGAAACATTTTAAAGATGTATAGGATAAGTACTGTTGTTGCTGTTAATTGATTAAAGTATTAGAATATTGCCTTTACTTTAAAAATGGACTAAAATGCTTTATTGTACAAATTTGTTATAGACATGTTGAGGTTGTGTGTACACTTCACACAAAACTATCAATCAAATTTTACAGCTGCTGTCTCACAAAAAAATACCGTGTGCAGTTTACAGTGATAAATTAAAACAATAAATACATGAAAACTGTCATTATTAAAAATTTAACGCAAACTTTATTTAAAAAAATAAAAACTGTATGGTTTATAAGACTGACTTTGTCATTTGAAAATGATTTAGTACAGGATAAATTATACATATTTTGTTGACATCTGGAGCTGGAGCACATTTCCATTTCTGTAACAGTGCACTCTTGTCTGTTTTTGTTTCATGTCCCCTATGCTCACAAATAACCAATTTCAAAAATGTCATTTCTGGAAGAACGATATAGGTTGAGATGGAAGGTGAAGCTGTTAATGAAAGGCGCAGAACTAGCCATATTGGGGTCAGTGTAAACCGGTTTTGGCTATTCAAAGTCAGACAACTATGCTAACTTGAGTTCCAAGATATATATGATGTTGATGTTTTATGATTTATGTGCCTCTCTCATCAGGGATGACTCGTATGATGGTCCAATATTTAGCAGAGCCCCTTCACGTCCTTGGAATCTTGAGAGAGGTTTCTTTCATGAGGAGAATTCTTCAAGACTATTCAGCACAGGACACGATAAGGACTATTACAGTAGGGATATTTTTGGAGCTCAACTGGACCGAAGCATAAACAATGAACTTCTACAGGATCAATTAAGAGAAAATAATAGGGGTGGGGAGAAAGAATCAAAATACTTTCAATATGACAGAAAAGATAGACTCTTTGATGGAAGCATAAAATCTCAGGCTTTATTGGCAGAGACAGAGAAGTATCGTAAACAAAGCCCTAATAGAAGCCTAAGCCTGATGTACACGGATGAAGATTTTCATAAACTTGAAAGAATTAGGAGAAAAAGAGAAGAAGATTTGCAAAGGAGAAACATTAGAACTGACTACCCAATTGCTGACTCAGCTAATCAAGAACAGTCTTCTGAATCTCAACACCATTATAGATCTGAGAAAACACCTGCAGTCCCCTTAAAATCTATACTGAAGAAACGGTCAGATAATTCTTCTACACAGGTTTGAACTGAATTCTTCACTCTCTTTGTTAATCTGTCATGTTTTACTAGTTTTCCCCCCCCTATTTTAAATATAAATATTTAACTTTTTTATGAAGATCTTTAGAATAAATGCTTTGAACAATGTCATACTCTTTCTTCCCAGTCATGGAGTTGATTTAGTATGGCAGCATCTTGGGCCTCATTTGGATCAGAAAGTTTCACTTTATTTGTTTTAAATTTGAAACCAGTAATTTTCTGTTAAGATGTGTTGTCCTTAAGCAAGTATTTTAACATCTGCTTGAGGATAACATGAAGAAGCTGCATTTGATATAGTAATTTTAGGTCACTCGTGGGGATTTCTGTTTTCCAACTTTGAAGCTTCATCAGTAATACTTTTCCTCGTGCAAGATGAAGTAAGGAGCAATTGCTCCTTATTTTGCTCTGCAAGGAGTCTGGGATGTTTTGTCATGCAGGGAGAAGGAGTCTGTTCTGAAAGGTGAGATTTTGGGAGAAATGGAAGGGTGCTTGCTGAAGGTTTTCATGGTTTAGATGAAATTTTTTACCATTAGGTGCATAAGTTGGAGGTTTCCTAAATTGTTTTTAGAAAACTTATTTTTCAGTGTTTGAAATTGAAGAAATCTCTATAAATATTACTTTTTAAAAACTATTTGAAACTGATTTATCAAGTCACTTGACTTTCCTAACATAATTTCAAAACAGAGATAAATACGGTAACTGTTCATTTCTGAAAGAAGAAGCACTATGCTTCTGTGAATTTGCATCATGCAGCTGTCATAAATAATGTTGCCCATTGACTTAGGAGCATTTGGCTACTTTTTTGGGGTTTGTGAGATGCTCCCTTCAGAAAAGTACCTTTCAAATTCTGTTATTGTTCAGACCCATTTTGTGCTTCCTCTGCTGCTCATTTGACGTGCTGTTTTTCCTTCTCCTTCACCCTTGCTGAATGATTCAAAGTAATCAAGGATCATGGCATGTTTATGTTGATGCTGCATAGCAAATTAAAACTGGACTTTATGAGCATGTCATGGAAGGAGAACAAAGTCATTTCAGTGAAAGGTTAACACTGAACAAGGCTGGGCAGTGACACGGTATGTGCAGCTTATACTGTGTTACTATACTGGCAATTTTATTGCTGATTAGTACAATATAGTGAGATCATCTTGTATCAGTGTGGCCTGTTTAGCAAAGGAAGCATGTTATTTGTTTTCCTCTGATAACTTTTATAGCACCTTTGCATCCTGCCTCAGCCCTAATGAAATACCCACAATGTGTCAAATTAAATGGTATTTTAGAACTCATGTCTCTGCCTCAGTTTCATTTTTATTCTCTTACAGTTTTCCAATATATTAGCTGTAATCTGTTTATATAAAAGAATGATCTGTTTTATGGATTGAAATGTTGATTAATTTTATAAACATCACAATATCTTTTTTAAAGTCTGGATTCTTATCTATCAATGAACTCCTTTCTTTCAGATACTTTTTATTTGTACCAGTTTAACATAATTGCTTCTTTTCATCAGTTTTTCTTCTTCAGAATTTCTTCAGTTCAACAATAACTTGTCTGTAGGCTCTGCTGGTAAGATATGTCAGTGCAAAATATTCTACCCACAAAAATGCTTTTCCTTTTGAACAGGACTCTGGGAATTTTTCAAAGGAAAAGGAGCCTCCTGAGTCAACATTAGAGTCTGTCAACCAACATGGTGACTTCTTGCTGCCTCATGAAAGAGCCAGTCAAGATGGGAGTGGCTTTTCGGATACTGTAGGTATAGTGATTGATTCTACTTACACTCCAGATAAAAGACTGGATCCCTTCCCTGATAATATAGAAGATGAAGAGAAATTTCTTTACGGTGATGATGATGGTGATTCAAACAACTGTCTCCCCTCTCAAAAGCTAATGCTGAGTGAAAAGAAAGAACCGGTAAGTGAGAAAGTAAATTCTCCACCTCCTGCAACTCTATCTGTAAAACCAGAGATTTTGGAACAGTCCACCCCGGAATATGACAAGATCCGTGACTTGCTTAAGACTATTGGTTTGGACATTGGAGTGGCTGAAGTAGGTAAGCTTGCTGCTCGCACGGAAGAAAGACTCTATGGAAAAAAACCAACTTATTCTCCAGATCATCATTCAGTGACAAATCATAAAGCAGAGTTGTGGAAGAGGCAGAAACATTCTCTATCACCATTTGATTCTTTCCCATCAGCTAAAGCTAATAACATCACTAAATTAGGGCAAAATAATCCTACTGGCATATGTGAGCAATCTGATGTTCCAGGATTTTTAATCCCATCAGCTCCACCTTCTTTTCTTGATATTCCTCCTGGGCCCACCTCTGCTTCCTGTCGGAATGTTCCATATGTCTCTACCTTTACTCCAAATCGGTTCTTCCCAAACTGTGCCTCTCTCCCAGTAGTCTTACCTAACTATGATGTATACCAGCGCCACATGGGTCATGCAACTTCTGACTGGTGTGCTCAGCAAGTGAACTCTGTATGTCCAAATAAACCTGAGGTCGCCAACCTTGCCAAACTTGCCAAACTAAAAAGCAAATGTACAAATCCCAACCTCAGAATTATTAATACAATTGCCATCAGCAAAAAGCCATCTCAAGCAGCTCCTACCATGGTTCACCAGCGAACCAGGTGTAAAAAAAGGGCCAAGCGAAAAAAATGTGATGAAAAAAATCAAACTGCTGTGATGCAAATGGTGAGTATCTTTTCTTCTTGATTTCATAATTACCATAGAATCATAGAAATTAAGATTTCGAATGGACTTTAGAAATCAACTGGTCCAAATACTTGCCCAATGCAGGTCTCTGTTTATCATTTATACCAGGGGTCCCCAACCCCCGGTCCGTGGATCAGTACTGGTCTGTGGCATGCCAGCAATTGGTCTGCACAGACAAGCAAAGTCCCATCTGCAGGATGCAGACAGCATACAAAACCACACCCTCTCTGGTCCACAGAAAAATCTCTCAATGGAACCGGCCCCTGGTGCCCAAAAGGTTGGGGACCTCTGATTTATAATTTAAAAACAAAAACACTGTTTATTTTTTTCTGGTTAACGAGCTTTAACTTTTCCTTCTTTTCAGCATAGAAATGTATACTTAACAATATATAAGCAGTCCTCTGCAAAATTCTAAGGTAGATGAATAGATATTAAATGTCTGTATCTACATAGTTTATTTTAATTTCATATATACAATTCCTAAATTGCCTAACTCCAAAAATGACTCTGGTCAGCTTCACGATACCCAAAAGCAAGAAAAACGCAACAAGATCTACCAAAAAAAAAAAAAAAAAAAACCCACACAATAGTCCTGGGGGGAAAAAACCCTACTTTCCATCACCCCAAAAGTGGAGTGGTCAGCCAGTATGCTAAACAAAGACCTGGGAGAAGAACTACATTTTAGGGGTCTTTTGAAGAGAGATAGAGTAGCTATGAATGAATCTCCAAGCAGATGCTGTTCCAGAGGGCAGGTGCTACAACAAAGAAGTCTTGTTTTCTTGTTTCTGCTAAGTGATACTGCTTCCTCAATGGAACCCTAAGGAATTTGACCCTAATTACTATTACAAGAAATAGTCCTTTAGACAACTAGGTGCTATGCTGAATAGGACTTGGTAGATAATAAACAGCACTTTGAATTGGAGTCAGAAGCATATTAGTAACTAATACAGCTCATGAGGCAGAGGTATTACCTGGATGTTGTTAGACCTGCCTATTGCAGCTTAGGCTGCTACATTCTGAACCAGCTGTAGCTTTCAAGTGGTCTTCAAGGGCAGCCTCATGAAAACTATGCTGCCATAGTTCCTCTCCAAGATATAAGTGACTGTAAAGAGGGCTTGATACAGAGATGAGTGCAGTTTGCATACATGTTGGATTTGTGCAAAGCCCTAGCTACCTGGATCTTTGAGAAGGAGTTGAGAATCTAGGACAGTGTTTCTCAACCCTGACAATTTTAAGGCATGTGGACTTCAACTCCCAGAATTCCACAGCCAGCAATGCTGGCTGTGGAATTCTGGGAGTTAAAGTCCACATGCCTTAAAATTGTCAAGGTTGAGAAACACTGATTTAGGAGGACTTCCCCTAGTGCCCCCCCCCCATTTAGGACTAAGTTTGGGAATCTCCAGAACCAGATGGTCCAAGCCATTTGACCTGGTAGAATTGAACTTAAACATGTTTTTCCGAATCCAGACTCCAGCTGCTTCCAAGCATTGGGAGGAAACCTTGACAACATTGTTTTTTTAATTCATGGATTGAATGACTCATTCACAGTTGAATGACTTCATATAGTCATGATACCTAACACTGAACTGAGGTCAACTGATTGATAACCTCTCCCTTATGCAACTTCATATTAAGCAGGAGGAGCAAGAGCATCAAACTTGCGACACTCCACAAATCAGAGGATTTGAATTTGAGTTTACTCTCCCCCTGAAATACTGCCTTGAACTGGTTGAGGAGAGAGTTCTCCAGTTATATTCTCCTCAATTGGTCCACAAGGATGTGAAAATCAATCATATCAAAAATTGCTGAGAAATAAAGAAGGGCCAGGTTGCAACTACCTGCATCCCGGCATCACCAGAGATCATCAACAGGCATGATCAGTGCCGTCTCCATACTGAATGTAGGCTGGAACCCCAACTGACATGGGACCAGACAATCCATTTCTTTCATGGCTCTGGAACTGCAGCTGGCCTCTTCTCAATAATTTTTACCAGAAAGGCGATGCTGGAGACTGGATAAAAGTTGCCCAGGACATTTAGGTCCAATGACAGCTCTTTACATTTTTTTAAATTTTATTTCCAAAGTTAAAATACAAAATAAAGAAATGAAGAAGAAACTAACAACCATTAAATGCTAATAATAAAAATAAATGTGTACAAAAATAAAACAAATGACATACGAAATTTTCTACATCATTAGGTCTGCTCAGTAGTAAATTGACAGAGATGTGACTATTATAACTCTTCAGGGTTTGGTGATACTGCAACTTAATGGATGGACAGTTTATTTCCACCAACAGTGAGCGAAAAAAATTATTTGATCCCCTGCTGATTCTGTACGTTTGTCCACTGACAAAGAAATGATAATTTTAATGGTAGGTTTATTTTAACAGTGAGAGACAGAATAACAACAAAAAAATCCAGAAAAACGCATTTCAAAAAGTTATAAATTGATTTGCATTTTAATGAGTGAAGTAAGTATTTGACCCCTTCGCAAAATATGACTTAGTACTTGGTGGCAAAACCCTTGTTGGCAATCACAGAGATCAGATGTTTCTTGTAGTTGGCCACCAGGTTTGCACACATCTCGAGGGATTTTGTCCCACTCTTCTTTGCAGATCTTTTCCAAGTCATTAAGGTTTCAAGGCTGACGTTTGGGAGTTGGAACCTTCAGCTCCATCCACAGATTTTCTATGGGATTAAGGTCTGGAGATTGGCTAGGCTACTCCAGGACCTTAATGTGCTTCTTCTTGAGTCACTCCTTTGTTGTCTTGGCCGTGTATTTTGGGTCGTTGTCATGCTGGAATACCCATCCACAACCCATTTTCAATGCCCTGGCTGAGGGAAGGAGGTTCTCACCCAAGATTTGACAGTACATGGCCCCATCCATTGTCCCTTTGATGCGGTGAAGTTGTCCTGTCCTCTTAGCAGAGAAATACCCCCAAAGCATAATATTTCCACCTCCATGTTTGACAGTAGGGATGGTGTTCTTGGGGTCACAGGCAGCATTCTTCCTCCTCCTAACACCACAAGTTGAGTTGATGCCAAAGACCTTGATTTTGACCACAACACTTTCTGACCACAACTTTCACCCACTTCTCCTCTGAATCATTCAGATGTTCATTGGCAAACTTCAGAAGGTCCTGTACATGTGCTTTCTTGAGAGGGGAGCCTTGCATGCATTGCAGGATTTCAGTCCTTCACTGCGTAGTGTGTTACCAATTGTTTACTTGGTGACTATGGTCCCAGCTGCCTTGAGATCATTGACAATATCCTCTCGTGTAGTTCTGGGCTGATTCCTCACCATTCTCATGATCATTGAAACTCCACGAGATGAGATCTTGCATGGAGCCCCAAACTAAGGGATATTGACAATTACTTTGTGTTTCTTCCATTTGCGAATAATCGCACCAGCTGTTGTCACCTTCTCACCAAGCTGCTTGGCAATAGTCTTGTAACCCATTCCAGCCTTGTGTCGGTCTACAATCTTGTCCCTGACATCCTGGACAGCTGTTTGGTCTTGGAAGAGTTTGTAGTCTGATTGATTGATTGCTTCTGTGAACAGGACTCTTTTATACAGATAACAAGCTGAGATTAGGAGCCCTCCCTTTAAGAAAGTGCTCCTAATCTCAGCTCATTACCTGTATAAAAGACACTCTTTCTTTTCCATTTCCGATATTATATCTGAGTCTTCCAAATTTTTATTTATTTGTACCTGTCTGTTGGTTTCTTCTTTCAAATCCTCCATTTTTGTATCAGTTTCTTCTATTTGTTTTCTGTTTCTGAATTGCTAGTTCATTCTTTGTAGTCATTTTCTGAACGTTTTCTGCTTGTAAGTTTAAGTTAGAGAGTTGTTCATTTATGTTATTTAAATTATTTTTAGTCTCATCTCATGATTTAAAACAATAGTCTCTTGAATTGATTTCAACATGGAGAGGATTTTTTTCTGAAGTTCATTTACATTTTCTTGTTAATTATCCATGTTTCTTCCAAAGAGAAATAGTCCAGAAGCAACTTTCCCACTGTTTCTTAATATTTCTTGGTAATTCTTGAAACTAAGAGTCAGTCAGTATTTGTAACCCAGGCAGGCCAATTCAGAATGGTTTATTGTCTCCTTCGTACAGATAAACATCCTAAGGATTTTTTCCCCTCCTTTTCCCAGCTGCAGTCTGCAAAACTGAAAGTTTCCAGGAACAACAAAGAATCTTATCTATGACTAGGCTGTTTCCTTTAAGCATAATAAATTGTAACGCCAAAGCTCATCACCAGATGTCATTAATATCCATCTTCCAGCTTTTAAGTCCAAACTTATTTCACCAACTTTCCATATCTTTTCAAAAGGAAAGTCTTAAAAGTACTTTTAGTCCCCAAATTTGTCAAAGCTATGTCTCTGTATTAATTCCAAATTAATCTTATAGTTTTCTCTATTGTCCCCCCAAGGAAAGTTATTCGCCACTTCACTTTTCCTGAGGGAACAGGACAGAAATTCCCATTCTCTTGATCAACTGGGGGCATTCTTTGCTTTGGGAATTCTTTTTTCCAGGAAGAGGTTTAAAATTATAAAGAGAGGATTCACCCAGTTCCATCCACATTGTTCAGAAGTTGCTAATTAATGCTTATCTTCAGTTGTCAGTAGCTTCTGACTGGCCGCAGTCTTTCCTCTGCCGGTTTGGAGGGCTTCCTCAGCTTAAACTGAAGGTTCCCTCCTTCGTCACCTCTCTACGGCGACTTTAGACCCTTTTTAGAGTCCCTAGCAGAGCGAAATTGGATGTGGAAAATGGAGCCCCGTTTTCCTGCGCCCGTGACACCACAATGTCCAACCTGGAATCTAGACTGATCATTTCTTTGTCAGTGGGCAAACATACAAAATCAGCAGGAGATCAAATAATTTTTTCCCTTACTGTACCATTTGATCCAACGCTTATTTCTGCCTGCATTGATTTCCTCATCCAAGTAATTGAAAAATGCAGTCTATTAAGGCTTTTAATATATACCAAATAAAATAATGTTCTGCAGGAGCCTTTGCAACAGAAGTCAGGGGCTTATGCAAAATTTATAGATAGATGTAGAATGTTGCTATTTGTTCTGCTTTTTTTGGCATGAATGTTCATTTGCAAATGAAGACAGACATTTGAGACAGAAATATTATTAGAAGAAACAGGGAAAGAATTACCGAATTTAAAAGAAAATAGTAGGAAGGATATTTTTGCCAATCCACTATAGTGTACTGATAATCCTATCTGTGAGCAGAAATATTTGCTACTCTGCCTGGAATATTTTTTGGCATTGTAAAATAATGAATTTAGATCTCCTGAGTCAGCCTAAATATTGCAAGTACTTGAAGGATGGCAAAGATTTATGTCAATGTTTACTGATTTGAGAAGAGTTAAATTCTTCAAATGCCTAGCTCCTCCCATCATCTTTCTATACAATCTCTGCCCTGCCCCTTTGTTGATGTCAAGCATTTGCGACACAAATTCCACAACACAGATTTGTCATCTAGCAGTAGATTTCAGACTTTAGCTTCCAAAGGAAAATTCACTGTCCTGAATGTCTAAAATTGTGTCCTATAAAAAAGTTGCAAATTAAGAATATAGTCCAGGCTTGTGACATGTGCTTCAGTATGATGACTCCAGTACAATTATATATGCTTCCTTTTTGTTAGTTTGTTTGTCTTCTCCTTCCTTGTTATGTATTACAGAATTTCGGGAAATTTCCAAAGTTAATAATCCTTTCAGGTGGATTCAATAAAGTAAGAAAACAAGATATTTTAAAGGAAAAATGAACATGCTATATAAGAAGCTCTTGTGAGTAATAAATTGCATTAAATACCAATTGGCATATATATAAAATAATGTAAAAATACTGTGGATTCAGGGACACATTGGAAATTTACCATAACGATCCTTGTAGAGTTGCTTTTACTTTGGTCAATTAAATGGCATGTTTTAATGTGCTTATTCCCTCTCACTTTTTCCAGATAGCAAAGGAAAGAGAAGCGTTGACATGTACACAAATATCACAACAGAAGAAACTCTTTTATCAGAAGATTGAATTAGATAGGCTTTCAGAACAGCAAGGTATCACTTCCTCTTATTTATTTATTTTTTGTTCTGAAGTACTCAGTAGTGGTGCTGAATATTACATAATCTCTTGGAAAGTGTGTAATTATATTTATATCATTCTGAAGGCATCTCATAGTACTACAGAAAGTCTTCAGATTATAATTGCAATTAGGACCAGGAACTCTCTTGCAATAACACTGTCGTAGAATGCAAAGTCACATGACTGCAACACTTAGCAATGGCAATTTCAGTAATTTGGGCTGCCATCATTATACAAGGACTATGTGTGTCATCATGTGATTGCAATTTTCTCATTGGCTTCACTTGTGGGAAGCTGGCAGGGAATGAGGGAAATCACAGTCACATGACTGTGACTTGTTGTGATGTTGTAATTATGAACTGGGTGCTGAGCACCCAGATTGCAGTCAAGTGGCCATGGGAAGGCTGTGACAGCCACAACTCTGAGGAGCTATCGTAGCTTTGAACAGTTGCTGAGCAACAGTCATAAACTTAGGACTTTCTGCATCCTAAAGAGTGGATTATATATGCATGTATCACTGTAGACAATATTACTGTTAATACATACCCAGCATCTTGGACCTAAGAAGATTAAAACTTAATTACCTTAATAATGCATGTATGAAAATGATTTTCTTTTGCACCTTGATCCAATTTAGTAGTGATGCTGTTGAAGAAAGGAAAAAAGGAAGACCCTTTGCTTATGGAACTGAGCAAATTGAAAGAAAACATTGCAAAAGCGGTTGCTCAACTGGAAATGAGTATTAACGCTATAAAGGAGAAACAGGTTGAACTTAATAAAGCAGCTCATATCCTGGAGATGAATTTTGAAAAATCCGAGAAATTATCTTCAGAAAATAAAGATTCATCAGAAAACAACCTACAAAATAATCCCCAAAGTGAAGAGAGAACCTTTGACTCAGTCAAGGTACATTTCTAGATGTTGATACAGTTAACAATCTCAGAGGAAAAGCTTTGGTGTCATAATTATGGCTTAGTAAGTTGAAATACAAAAAAGAGATTTCCTTCCACTTGTTATCTTTTATTCTCCCTTCACACATTTCTGCAAATAAATTAGCATGCCTGCAATTCCCTTGATAGCTTTCCTTATGCCTCAACTAGCTCACAACTTCAAAATAAGCAAAAACCTGAAACTACTTTCAGATTCATTTGATACCTGTGCTTATTCTGAAGGGGTGAAACTGAATTTTACTTGGGAATGATGAACCCTTGCACATTTGCCAAAATTTGCTCCATTTGGCTGGAGGAATTCAGTGAACTACAGAAGAAGGAGGTAGACAGGGCAAAATCTCTAATACAAATAGATGATGGAGGTTGCCCATAGTTTTCCATTTTGGATTAAATGTCCATCTAGAGAGCTTTAAAGACGTTTTGTGTTATGAGTTTGCTTGCATGAAGAACTTAGAGAACTGCATGTGCATACCAAAGACTTGTTCATATCTGAGTTTATTAATCCAAAATACAATTATCCAGAGAGCAATTATAGATATAAGTTTTGATTTTCCTTGTCTTAATTTTATTATATATATAAAATCCTATAGCAGACAGGTGAAGCATGCAGCCCGCGGGCCGGATCTAGCCCGGTCTGGCCACACCCACACCGGCCCCATAAGGGCAAAACAAATCCCGATATGTCACGATATGGCCTGCAACGTGATCGGGTTTGACACCCCTGTCCTATAGATAATCACTCAGAGATAAGCCCCCAATAGAATTATTAGATAGCAGTACTAGCCTGTTTGTCTTTTCTCCTAGCTTTGTTAAAATGGTCTCATGTCAGTTTTGATCAGAACTTCACTGATATCAAAAGAAAGAACAGCTCCTTAGATAAGATGAAACTTTTTAATAATGGCCTTTCCCTAGAACAGGGGTGTCAAACTTGCAACGTCACATGAGGTGTCGTGACGTATCAACACTTTTTTTCCATTGCCGGCAATGGAGTGGGCGCAGTTTCACCATGACGCATCCGGCCCGTGGGCCGGCAGTTTAACACCCCTGCTCTAGAAGAAAACAAACAGTGATGTTTGAAAAGGATTATGTTGGAACAAATAGGGATAAACAAAACTTTAGAAAATTATTGATGAAAACAAAAACAGTTATTTTTGTGGTCATTAATTTGTGATACATAATTGTTAAGATATTTTGTAATAAAATTCTATAGAGGATTTTCTCTTATACAAATATCTTTTTGTTTAGTCATAAGGAAGTGATTGTTTACGTGGAGTAAGGACAGAATACAGCAGAAGGAAAAACCTAAAGACTGTTCCATACCTGACCTGACTCTAGCTTTTAGAAGCTGTGGTAAGATTTTGAGATGAAGACTACAATTCTTGAGAATATTTTTATTCTGTCATGATTTCAAGCACTATATTTTATTCAAATTTGTTTTATGTTTCAAGAAAAGTAAAAAAAAAGTTAAGAAATTTTGTCTCTTGGCTCATTAAATATCAGTATAATATATCTTATCAATGGCATCTCCTCAGAGGAGGTAATCAAGTTCTATGTTTTTTGAATAGCTGAAAGTTTCCTTAAATTGGAGATAATCTGAAAGGTTATTGCAATCTAATTTTCAGGTTAATTTTTGTTAATGGGTTGCCACAGCCCTCAAAACTTTTCAGGAGAGGGTTTATGTGTATAAAAAATGATAACAGGAAGCTTAATGTGTTTGTTATGAGAAAGTAACAGCATCACTTAGATTTCTTCCCTAGATAATGTCCCCCTATGATGCTTCCTGTTATCCATATTATTCCACTTTAAAAGAATGGATTTTTAAAGAACATTTTAAAAGAATATTCTGATGACATTCTTCTATGAGTACATTGTATGGCATGATAGCCTAAGAAAGAAGTCGTGATACTATATTTATTTCTCCCTGGCCAGAAAAAAGTCTTTTTTAAAAAAGCTTTTCCTCCTGACATTTACAAACACAGGTCTCCACCACTGGATGCCTTCAGAAAACTTTAATAAATGAAACAGATCTTCTCTGTTTTTTAGCATTTTATTAGTTATGGCTTTGCTGAAATGTACCTCACAATTTTAAGTTTAACTATTTAATCTTCCTGTAAACGTTTGGGTATTTGGGCATTTGGAAAACAAAACGTCACAGAGCTTATGTTTTTACACTACTTCCTTGAATGTAATGTAACGACAACAATGAAAATTTTAAGAAATAAAAAGGATTTTAAAAAGGAAGGAAGATAGGAAAATAGCCACATATATAATCTGAACAGAGGAGTGAAAAGATGGATTAAGATCTGCTGTTAAGTATGGTGAACACATATTGAAAATAATTACTGCTTGTTAGCAAATGCTCAAAACATACCAGTTTCTTTTGACTAATATAATGTACTTTTAAATTCCTGTGTACCATCTGTTATTGACCATTCTGATACTGACTTGGCAAAGTATAGTAGTGAAATGTTTCTTTATCAGAAAAAACAGGCCATCATCTGAACTGAACATAAAAGTGAAGCTATCCTTATTCACTTTAGAAACAATTTAAAATGAGAAATAAAAAAAATTATGATATGGGAGAAGAAAATAACATTAAAATACAACTAAAAGAAGAATATCTTAAGGATTCAGATGGGAACAAGCGAGCACTATGTCTGATCTGCATTGAAGAATCAAGAAATTCAACAGAACTAATCTGTTTTCATTTTTTTAAAGATTATGTGGTACCTGCATTCCATGGATTAGAATGTACTTTAGAAGTACTTACAATATAGGAACTGCAATAGGGATATATAGTTCTAATTAAATAGCTTTTCATGTTTGTTCATCTCAACTAAACTGAAAATGTCCAAGCAAGGGGGGGGGGATCTATGCTGGCAAAATTATATAAGTGCAGCAAACTTTCATTAAAAAAAAATCCTGATTATTCTAGTGAGATTTCATGGCAATAACTTATAACATTGTGGTGAGATTAGAGGCCAGATTGTGAATTCTAGTCAGTGAAGTCTCTCTGGAAAAAAATAATCGTGAAATCACTCATTTGCACTCTGGACAGCTGCTCCTTTTAAGTAGAGCAGTGGTTCTCAACCTTTCTAATGCCGCGACTCCATAATACAGTTCCCCATGTTGTGGTGACCCCCAACCACTTATACATCACCGGGTGCCAGGGGCGTGGCCAAAGAAAAGGGAAAAATGGCGGACAGCCTTGTTTGGCGACCCCCATGAAATGGTCGTTCGACCCCAAATGGGGTCCCGACCCACAGGTTGAGAACCACTGAAGTAGAGGGTTGAGGGATTTCCATCAAGCTTACAACCATCAATATTTCCATTATGGACACACAGTTTTGCTGAACCTCATATCTTAATCATTTTTGGTTTTAATAAACTTAGAGCTAAAGACAGGTTTTCTCGGTGACAGGATAAGATTTCACTTAGTGAGTTACTACTTTTTCTGGATTATAAAGAAATAAAATGGTTCTAAAAACTCAAAAACCTGACAAAAAGCTTAATAAGTCAATGAAAGACGTTTTAAAAAATGATAAAGGGGATGGTTATTTTGAAAGATTTTTTTTTTTGGCAAAAGTGCTTTTAAATAAATTAGAATGAAATTAGCCAAAACAATTAGTGGGGATATTTTTTATTCTTAAAGAATGCATACAACTCGTGGACTGTACGAAACAAAAGATAATTATAATAAGCCAGACTGTGATACTGACTGTAAATATGGAGATGTTGACTGTGGTGTTGAATATAATTAGTGCTATTAGGGATGAAAGCACAAAAAGACAAAAATAGGGAAACTTGCCTTTAATTTTCCCTTGTTTGAGACACTTTCATTTTTTGATTATAATATAATGACAACCACAAGAAAAGCAACAAGAATGGAGGAGAGGAGATGAGATCACTAGAAGAACCCGCAGAAAAAGGAATTTCATCAGGTTTGCTTCAGAAATAGTGTTAGCAAATGGACAAATAAGATACAATCTCTTGATAATAAATTGACAGCTCTTAAGAAAAAAATGGATGAAAAACTTGTAAAGAGGAAAGAGGAGATGAAAGAAGAAGCCAAGATGATGGAAAGTGCTGTAACAAGCCTCTGGAGAAATAAAACAAATTGATGACAAAGTAGAAATTTTAGAGAGAAGGAGAGAAATTCCCAACAGTTGGAAAGAGAACTAGATAATCTGGCTATATTTGATTGAGAGAATAAGATTTTTTTTTTTAATGATTTAGAGCAAGGTCATAGGATTTAGTGAGGATATCAGAGAAAAGATTATTAAAGTCCTGGCAATCTTTTTTGTATTGGGCAGAGGCGTATATAGAGGCATAAAATGATAAAAGTGTATAGAATAAATTCTATATTTGCAAGAACAAGAACTGTTCTAAGGCAGGGGTGTCAAACTGCCAGCCCACGGGCCGGATGCATCATAGCAAAACAGCACCCACCCCATTGCTAGCAATGGAAAAAAAGTCATGCTACATTGTGACACATCACGTGACGTTGCAAGTTTGTTGTAAGGGATGCTTTCACGCACTTTGTCAGGAAGAAAAAATGATTAAGTTTTGCATTAAGTATTGGCAATATAGATATAATTGCTCTTAAATAAATTACTATCATAACTTCGTGTAAGAGAAGGAGTATTTTTTTTTTTGACTGGGAGATTAAAACAGGATTTCATTTTGATGGAACAAATTGGAAGATATGCTTTTTACTTTTAAATAGTAGAGTTTTCAGTTGAATTCTGTGCAGAAGGTGTGGAAATTTATAGAAAAATTCAGAGAAGAATTGGAAGAGATTCATATGAAAGTGTCAGAGGAGACCACAAAAACTTCAGAGGAAACTGAAAGGGATGATACTGATTTAGGTGCTATAAGTATTGGTTTATCTAAATTTTTTTTGTGATTATGGATTACAAGTGATTAATGTAAAATGTAAATGGAGCAAATGCTCCCCAAAAGTGGAAAAAAGTTATTATTTGAAAAAAAATTAAGATGATATAATTTGCCTACAAAAGGCACATATCAGAAAAAGATATGGAGTTTTCCTTCCCCCTTCTCGTGATGTTGGATACATGTGTGTGTGTATGCACACACTCTTGAAAGAAACATCTCTTGCTGTTTGGTTTGGATCAAAGAGTAGGTGTTCTTGAGAAATAGAAGGCTTTTGAGTTAAAAGGATATGGCATGAGATCAAGGTGGCAGGAATATTTGTGGTACAATGAAGTTGAAGTTAATTAAAATTTAAAAATAATTATGTTATTTGTGCTATATTGAGAATGGAAGAGATATAAATTCAGGTTGTGCTTGAAAACATCTTTCTGACTCTTATAACAAGCATTTTATAGACAAGAAATAATAGGCAAACAAATTTGGCTAACTTATTGTGAGATATTAGTATTGTGTTAGGAAGAATGTAAAATAAAGAACTAGTGGCAGAGGGACAGTGGTTTTCTTATTTACAATTACCAGAAAGTTTTAAAGTAGATAAAAGAAATTGTGATTTTGAACATCATTAAGACTGAATTTGAAATAGAATTGTGCACAAATGATGAACATATTAATTGCTAAAATGTATAAACTTTTATTGAAATGTGAAATATAAAAACAATTTCTGGAATGTTTGATAAAGTGGACTAAAATTTTGATTACAATAAAACAGATGAAACAATGGGAAAATGTGTGGTTGAAAGGATTGAAATTTACACTATGTTACAATCTTAAAGATAATTTTTATACAATCATGTTTCGTGACTATATGTCACTGGAGAAATTGTCTGGAATGTACGAAAGCACTTCAAATTCAAATATTGGACATGTGAACAAGAAGAGAATTGTATCATGCTTGGCGGATATGTAAAAGCTAGAAAATTAAGACTTTTCTTTTGGAATTGCTGGACAAACAATTGGAAAAAAGTCTTAGAAATTTGTTTTTGGACTTGATCACTGCAGCAAAGTTATTGCATGCACAAAAATAGGAAGATTCTACATTACCCACAATGGAGGAATATTTGATAAAGACGATGGAACTTTCTGAGAGGGAAGAGCCGAGGTGGCGCAGCAGTTCTGTGCAGAAGGTACAATGCTTGCAAGTGCAGCAGTTAGAGTGCAGTACTGCAGGCCGCTTTAGCTGACTGTGTTCAGCAGGTCAGCGGTTCAGATCTCACCGGCTCAAGGTTGACTCAGCCTTCCATCCTTCCGGGGTAGGTAAAATGAGGACCCAGATTGTTGGGGGCAATGTAAAATATATATATACATTGCTTACTGGTGTACACCGCTTAGAGAGTGCTTGCACTTAAAGCGGTATATAAGTCTCATAAATAAATAAATAAATAAGAAACCAACTGGGAAGGTCGGAAACCACAATCATGTGATCATAGGATGTTGCCCTTGGTCATAAATGTGAGCCAGTTGCTAAGCGTCTGAATTGTGTTCACATGATTGTGTGGGTGGTACAATGCTTGCAAGTGTAGGGATTGGTGGTAAATCATTTTTTCAAGGCTGTCATGACTAAATTGTTGTTAAAGGAATGTCATAAGTCATGGACATCAATGTCATCTGTAACTGCTGTAAAAAAGATCAGAAGCTACTTCGTATCTTTTTTCTTTCTTTTCTATTTTTCCTTTTCCCCTTTTCTTGCACTTTCACCTTTCTCTTTGATTTCTTTCTCTTTTCTTCTTTTTCACATTTACATTAGTTTCATTTTCCTTCTTAAATTTTTTTAATAAAATTACTCCAAAATCTTGACTACATTGTTTTTTTTAAAACTACAGATGTAACTCATTTATTAAGAACGTTAAAAGTGTTCAGACTCTGAATCAGTTGGAAACAGAAAAAAAAGTTAATTTTCTGACTCAGTGAAATATGTTTTATAGCTGGATAAGCCTACCACATCCTCTCCCATCTTCTGAAAACACAAAGTTGGAGCTCTGTATTTGAAACTGGTAGTATTTTTTCTTGCCAACTGAATGACACTGCGATTTCACACTGAAATGTCATGTAATACAGTTTGCAGATCAAGACAAAAATATGTACATTTATATGTGGATAAAAAGTATAAGTAACTAATTCCTATCTATTCACTAATCCAATATATGTTCTTGGATTTTTAGTGGAAGTTAATAAATGGAAATGTATTTTGTTGAAAGAAACCAGACTGAACCTTTGTAGTATACAAAAACAGAAATTATGTTTTTAACTAGTATTTGGACATCTCACTGCATTCCTAAAAATAATCTTGATCCTTTTTTAACATGAAGTAAATGAAGTAAACACTACCACCAAGACATGCTGTAAACCAATCTGAGAGCATCAAGCAATATCTGATCAAGTGCCATCATTCTCCCCAGAGAAGGATCTTTGGAAGAAAATGCAAGTCATACAGCATTGTTATGACCCAGGTCGCCTAGGCAGAGACATCAATAGAGTTAACTGCTACAACAAATGGCCCTACAACAGCCCATAAGGCTCCACCTCACATTTCCCTGAAGGCAGCCATCCTTAGTCCCATAAACACAAGCCAGTAAACATCCTAAACAATTTTGCAAAGACAGAGAGGAAGTCCAAAGAGAAGACGCAAGCTCACGAGGCAAGATCAAAATCAAGGCCCAAATGGCAAGGCAATTCCACAGGGTCAGACAAGTCCATGAGGCCAAAAGCAAGTCCACAAGGCAAAGGCAAGGCACAGGCAGAAACGAGAGTCAAGGCTGTGTTTTTCCAAAGCTGGGGGCGTGTAAGCCAAAGCAAACGATTGTTTCTGACAGACTCCCTGAGTTTCTTAAGTCAACCTATGCCAGATGTTTCTTGGGAGGAGGGCGGGGTGACATTCTCCCGAGCAGCCTCTCATCCCTTGCCTCTGCTCTACTCTCTGTGCCTTTGGATCGAGTGGTGGAGGCAGCTGTTCCTCATCAGAGGGGATCTGCTGTCTGTAGCTGATCCTCCCCCATATCTGTGAGGGCAGGCAGCTCTCTAGTCAACCACCTCCCCCAATGCCTGAGGGGGCTGGGACAGCATCGTCCTCAGCCCCTGGCCTCTCCAAACATTCCAAGGGAGACATGCCATCCCTGTCAGACAGTCCCGATTCCAACTCCTCTTCCTGTGAGCCAGAATCCGATGGGGTCATGACACGTTATCCAGGAAAGCTATATGACATCAAAGGAAATCAATGGCAGGGAAAGGGATACAGGAGTTGAAGTCATGAGCAAACGAGCAGCTGATGAAGATTGGAAGATGGCTGAGATAGTAAGGAGGCTTCTGAGGGCTAAGGTAGTAATTGGGCTGTGGTCAGCCAAAGCTATAGAATACTTGGCGGATCTCTGTGGACCATAGTTTGAGAATCATGGCTGTAGTAAGCTCTGCAGGAGCGAGTGCTGCCAGAAAATGAATTATGAAAAGAATTATTTACAGATTTTGGATTTCATATATCTTATCTTTGGATTCTTGAGATTAGTCAAGTTAAATATATAAATGAACTACTTCAGTTGTCCAATTACATTCCTTTGTACTTTAAAGATAAAGGATCTGATGGGAAAGAATGTCTACTGATGATGAATATGAGCACACCTAAAATAATCAAAGCTAGGATATGGTCTCTTGATGTCCCTGAAATTTACATAGAGGTTCAATTCATATTGAGAAGAAGTAGAAATTATTTTAACAAATATAATTCTATTTGCTAATATAGATATTAGCAAATAGGTTCCTGTAATATATTTTGTAGCATTACTAATTCTCCTATGAAAGGCAGCAGTTCAAATTCTGACTTTTTTTATTACTTCTATTAGATTGGGGGTCCCCAACCCCCCGGTCTGTGGACCAGTACTGGTCTGTGGCATGCCAGCAACCGGGCCGCACAAACAAGCAAAGCCCCATCCGTGGGATGCAGGCAGCACACAAAACCATGCACTCTCCGGTCCATGGAAAAACCTTTCTCCATGGAACCGGTCCCTGGTGTGCAAAAGATTGGGGACTTCTGTATTAAATCAATTGTACTTTTAACCCTAGCATGAGCTACTTCTTCAACTGTAGAAGCTTCTTGGATGAGAAGTGAAACATCTTCAAGGAAGAAACCAAGAAACTCCATTTGCTTTTTGAAAAGCACCTTTAGGACAACCATGACCTGGATGAGAATCTCCCCAGACATTCTTCAACTGAATGCTTCACTGAGCCTGAGAAGAAGTTTTACATAGCAGTTTTTGTAGATTGCTGCATCTGATAAAAAAACCACAAATATATTAGAGCTATGTTTGGCTTTGCATGTGAACATGGACCAGATTGTTAAGGTGCCTATAATTTTTTCTGAGGCAAGCATGCATAGAATAGTAACTTTGGGCATTAGTCCAATCTTAATGTAATAGTATTTAATATCTCTAGATATCACTGCAGAATTGTTAAGTATTGAATATGAGTTATGTTCTAAAGATCTCATAAATTTGTCTAGAATCAACCATTTCCAAACTTCAGTTTGCAAGTGTAAAGATTTCTAAAATTGGTTCAGTGAATTACATATTAATATTGATTTTTTAAAAAGCTTTACACTATATTTGGTTAAAACAGGAATTCTTCCTTTGGATTGAGATGGGCAATTAAAACTACAATAAAATCTTAGATGTATCTATCAGTTTCTTATGATCCTGGGAATATGTAAAATATGTAAATACTGGGCTGTATTTAAATATTAAATATTTCTCCTTATTTTACTTATAAATAAAAAAATGGTATTTGTAAAAACGTTGACAAAAACGGGAATGTATCTTATATATAAGCTGTGAACTAGTGATTTAACTGCAGTGTAAACAAATGTCTCTTGAGCTTGACATGATACGAACCCCCTAGAACAGTGATGGCGAACCTTTTAGAGACCGAGTGCCCAAACTGCAACCCAAAACCCACTTATGTATCATCGGGTGCCGGGTGGGTGTGGCCCATTGAGGGGGCGTGGCCCATTGGGGGGCATGGCTGCAGTGGTAATGGCAGACTGGGTGGGACTAAAAAGTTCAATCAATTCCAACTTTGCGAGATCTTCCCCCTTCCCCGAGAAATTGATTGATTGATTGAACCTTTTTTTTTTTTTGCACATGGTGGCAGAGGCCTAAAGCTTAAAAGGTTTTGTAAAACTCAGCTGAAGGCCTAAGACTGGGGCGACGGCGTGCATGCCCACAGAGAGGGCTCTGCGTGCCACCTGTGGCATGCATGCCATAGGTTCACCATGGCCCTAGAACGTAAGCAATTTATTGCAGAAATAGTATATGTTAGGGCTACATGGTACTTTGGATTTGAAAGCAAAAATGTACTTAAAGCACATTATGATAGAAAGCATATATTGCACTTATAGAATAGTCCTTGTTTACTGACTGCCTCCCTTAGCAACTATTTGATATAACGACAGTGCTGAGAAAAATAAGTTTACAATCAGTCCTTGAATCTGTGGCCATTGCTGCATCGCTATTGTCATGTGACCAATACTCAGACACTTCATGACTGGCATGCATTTACAATGGTCACAACATCTCATGGTCAAGTAATCACCATTTGTGAATTCACAGCTGGCTTCCAACAAGCAAAGTTAATGGGGAAGTAGGCAAGAAGTCACAAGTTGCAATCATGTGACATTTCAACAATCTGCAGCAATTCACTTAATGACTGCACTGGAACTGATATAAGTCCAGAACAGCCACGTA